TCGTCGCTCTCTCTTCAAATTCCCAAAACCATTCAAAATTGGAAAGAACAAAAGAAAATAATACCTTGGTCTCTTCGATGATATTCGTAAATTTTGCTTGACCTTAAACAGCATCAAGTGGAATACATATTCTGCAACACTTCGCCCGTTAACTTAAATATTCCACAGTAGCATCTAAGAACACCCCCGCTAACAATGTCACATGAGAATAGACTTCAAAGGAGGAACACGCATTTGACTCAAATATTGAGCAGAATCGCCAAACCCTCAAGCGATTCAAGGTGGAGAAATTGAGAAGAAGCGAGAAATTGTCGCCTGAATAACTGTCGCCGTCGGCTTGGAAGGGGAGAGTGATCGATCGATCGAGGGTTTAAAAAAAAATTTGAGAAAGGAGAAATTTTTAAAAAGGGCAAGTTTGTCATTTCACCTCCAAAATGTCCTAATAATTTATGTTTGAAAACATTATCCTTATTTTGGACAATTTCCCAACCTAGAAAGGGATTAAATTAAACCAGAATTTTTTGCACTAAAGTAGACCCATTCGGTTTCTGCAAACCGGTTTGGTGTCTATTCCAGGTTCACCGACCTACACGGTTCAGTTCGGTTGGTATGTATTTTCAAATACAGAAACTGAAATTTCAGCCCCAGATCGTTGGACGAAACCTGAAACTTACAATTGAAACAGAAATTTGAGAGATAAAAAGCGAGTTTAAAGTGGGTGTTTCCGGCCTAGACCGGCCGATTGGACTCACATAAAGGATGGGAATGAAGAACGGGCGCCCAGCCCATGCATCCCGAGCAGAGAGCTAACCTGGAATGGGATGCATTTGAATAAAAGAACGAACTCAACCGAAGAACTACAATTGAAACAAGACCGGGATTTGAAAGAAGAACAAAAAACAAGAGATTTTTTTATCAGGAAACCCAGAAACTCAAATCGAAATCGTCGAAAGCTTTGCTTTTGGTTTCATTTAGCTGTAGCTGATTTGCTGATATGCTTGTTCGAAAAATTCCTTACTCTCTTTGATATTCTCTAGATCGAATGTTCGGGTGGGGGCAAAAGGAGCATTAATATSATCAAAGTTTCCAATCGCAACCACACAGTGACATAATTTCAATGYYATCCCTTGAACCAAGGTTCCTTTTTCACTTTTTTTTTTTGCAACATAATTTAGGGTGTGGTTCAGATCAGATGGTGACAGTATYAGTATCATCAAACAATACGACCATTTATTAAAAATTAAGAAGTAACATCAAATAGTGAACTACACGAAATTTCTGTAATGCATCACCAGAACTTATTGAAGAAAGAAAGACAAGCTAATTAAACTTCAAAAGATTTATCGAAGCAAATAGCACAATTCTGTATCAACCAAGRCACGAATAAGCCAGAGATTTCTCCTCCATTAGCTCTTTTGCTGTTGCATCCATCTTGGCTCGTGAAAACTCATCAATCTTGAGCCCTGCATTTGCAATAGAAGCCTTCAACATTCTAACTGTTACTCTACTCAAAGTTTCTATTTATAAAGACTTAAAACGCATTCTCATTCCTTCAACTTTTACCCTTCATTTTATTCTCTTATACTTTCACTTTTCATCCTTTGTCCTACTTTTTCATATTGTATTTAATAAAAMCATCAGAAAGTTTAGGTGCTAAAAAGGAAATAAAGACCTAAGAAAGAAAGTTTAGAAACCAAAGTACGAGAGAGAGAGAGAAGAGAGAGAGAGAGAGAGAGAGTACCCTGGACAATTGACCATTCTCCTTTCTCGCAGGTAACTGGAAACGAGTAGATAAGGCCACGTTCGATACCATAAGAACCATCGGAATACACTCCCATGGAAACCCAAGTTCCCTGAATGAAGGATGATAGAATGTCAGTCAAAAGAACAATAAAACTACCCTTCATGATCAAATGAAATTTGAAGGTTAAGGATCAACCTTGGGGGTCCCCAAAACCCAATTGCGTATATGATCACAAGCAGAACTGGCAGCAGACAGTGCACTAGATAGCTTTCGAGCCTTTATAATGGCGGCACCACGCTGCTGTACAGTGGCAATAAACTCGGTATTCAACCTTTACAGATTAATCAGAAATGGGAAGTTAGAACGGAAAACATCTCGTCTTTGTGAAGTTTTCTCCCTGTTTTGGACAAACAAGTACTGAAGCAAAATTTCACTTCAAGGAAAGAAGACCAAGCAACTTCTAAATGACATATAGATTTTAAGGACACAATCTGAAATCGTTGTGTTACCACTGATCATCTGCAATCAATTCTCGAACTGGTTTATCGCCGCTGCTAGTGGTGACTGTCGCGTGATTGACGTCTGGATACTGTGTAGAAGAGTGATTGCCCCAGATAATGACATTCTTCACATCACTAACTTGGACTTTCAGCCTCTCAGAGACTTGGCCTAATGCTCGGTTATGATCCAATCGTGTAAGACATGTAATGTTCTTCTCAGGTATGGAAGGTGCAAACTCTTTCAAGATGAGAGCATTTGTGTTTGCTGGGTTGGCCACGACTAACACCTGTAGTCAAATGCAATTTCTCCAATAAAATTAAATGAATAGAAATTAAATCTAGGCAATATTGTGGCGATTGGAAATAAGAGTTTGTTAGCGAAGTTGTAATGGAGGAGGGAGAATTATTAGTAGAGAAATGGGTGGTAGATGAGATAGGCAAATATTAGGAACTAGATAGTAGGAGGGAGACGGCTCTCCTGAAATTATATCAAAATATGATGATATCTATATATTAATTACTCTCACATATTATTAATCATGTCGAAAAACTGTTCAATAAAGAAATCAAAATGACCATCAGAATTCCGATAACTAGCACATGTTACGGAAGGCTGGAGGCTCTCACCTTGCAATCTGGAGCAGCATGCTTCTCCAAGGCTGAAGCTTGTGTTTTGTAAATGGAGACATTTTTAGACATCACGTCCTTCCTTTCCATACCCTCCTTTCGAGGAAAACCACCAACCATAACTGCAATATTGACCTCCTTACAAGCTTCAGCAGCGTCGGTTGTAGCARCAACACCTGTTTGGGAAATAGTACATGAAGTTCAAAAGCCCAAAAAAGATGATTACCCCAACACAGACGAGACAATACTAAAAGTATACCCTTTAGAAGAGGAAAGGCAGCATCTATTAATTCCATTTTTACACCATTCAAAGCTTCGGCTGCAGGCTCGATATCAAGCATGTGCAGAATTACAGGCTGATCAGGGCCAAGCATGACCCCTCTTGCAATCATCGGAACAATTGCATATCCAATTTGCCCTGTACAACAAAGTGAAAGAAGAATTACCSTCTCAAGAACTACTTCCTAGTCCTCTAGAATATACAGGTCCATCCAGTAGTTATAGCAAAGAAAAAGGAAGGAATATTAACCAGTGTTCTATTCTTCTAACGATRATATGTTAATTTTCTTTCGTGGTTCAAATTCTTGTCTTCTTCATTGCTTACTTTTATTGACTTTTAGAAATGGAAAAACCTTGGTAATCATGTCTGTCTCTCTTCTCTAAAATGTCTCTGTTCTCTGTTCTCCGATATTCACTTGAAGGTTATTTTTTAAAAATTCAAAATTTTATGTCTGTAGATAAACATTGAATATGCAATTCATTAACCTAMATAATTAAAATAGCAATTTCATTAATGTGGTTAAAAACATGAAACAAGAAAGAGGAAATCAAATATTTYAAAATATGTATGCAATTACAAAAATATTTATACAACGAATGAGAAAACTATCAAAATCAAATGTTTCTCACAAAATATAAAAGATAAACTACAATCCTAAACTGCAACTTTAACAAAACAGTCCCTAAATAAACTCAACCATAATAGTTATAGACGAAAGAAGATAATGGAAAGGCACATGAAGGACTGAGCATGCCTGCGGCTCCTGTGACTAAAACCCTCACTGGTTCCTTCTCCATGCTCACAAAACTCCACATATACCTAATTAGCTTCCAGAAGAACGCGATGGTAAATAAAACAACAAGAAATTTCTGAAGCAGTTCGATTTGCTCCATTTTTCTCTCGATCGAAACAACCCAAAACCAGTTTCTGCCAACAATCAATAGAGAACTCAACCACGCCTCGGTAATTTGTACAAGAGTATCATTCGGAAAGAAGCAAGGAATCGGCGGACACAACCAACCCACGCCAGGCAATCAGATACCAAAACCACAGTCCACGGGAAATGCAGAATCGTAATAGTGTCCAGATTCCAAATATAAGAATCCGAACCTTCCCACTTTATAGAAATTGGATTAATTAACGAAATCGACAACAAAAAAATGAATACTATTCTATTTAGCGATGCCCAATAGACAGATACATCAAGACTTTCGTACATTATCACGCAACCTAAACCAGGGAAGCTATTGCATTAAATTGAAAAAAATGTAAAATTGAAAATAATGGTAGCAGCAATACCAGCAGCACCAGTGACGAGGACTCTGAGGGGGTTTTTCGCCATTGCTGTGAGAATGCGTCAGAAAGAGGAGTGGGAATTCGGCGAAGGAGGTCGATACTCGAAACTCGAGTAGGTATATATAATAGAAGAATCGAAGGGTAGGAGATCGCGTCGTCGAGAATGGTGGAGAGATGGGAGGGGGATAGAAAGAGGAATTGCGGCAATCGAGGACATGGATAACTGTGGAGAGAATGGAATGCGATTCCATCGTGTGTCGCCAATCGCCATGCAAGATGGGCATTTCATCAACCATAAAGGCGACACGTTTTGCAAGTCGATGATCGTAAGATGAAATTTACACTCTTGTGATATATATATGTCTGTGTGTGTGGTTTCTAGAGACCACCATATGATAATAATTTAATTTTATACTTGTGCAATGGTGAAAGCCTATATAAATTTTTTTTAAAGTAAAACAGATGTTGGGAAGGAGATTCGAACTCACAGCTTTGGCAAAAGCATGTATAATATCATTTGTCAAAACGAACATAGTTCAATAGTAATTAGTATATATGTCCAATTAAGAGGTTGTGACTTCAAATTCCCTCCCCAACACTTACACTAAAAAACATATAATATAATTTATGGATTAAATTAGTTTTTCATGTAAACATAAAAATAATTATTTAGTTGAATAGGAGTACATTTTATTAGTTTAATTCAGTTTTCAGACGTTTATTGTGGATTTCGCAAGGGAATAGTTTACTACTATTTTTTTAGGGGAGTTTACTACTCTTGATGTAGCTATAAATAAGTAACCTTATTTATTTATATATTCTTGTTTTGCCTATACCTTATTTGTTGTTGCACTAACAAATTGAATGGAATATTTTAACGCCGGGCGAATAAAAAACTTACCTATAACTAAAAATACATTTTGTTAAGTATATGTATTTGTTATTTATAGAGATTTTGGACTTTCAAAATTAAATTTTTACAAACTAACTAATATTGACGAGTGATTTTGTTTACTTCAAGACATAAGTATATTAATCTAAGAGTATTTTTAGTATGTTTTTTCATATTATATATTAATTTTTATTAGTTACAATTGTATGAAAYAAAGATAGACGATATATTGTGTATACTTATAAGATTGTATACAAAATGACAGGTTATTTTAAGCAAGACATTATATCGATGGAATTAGATATTTAATTATTAACACAAATAAAATATTTATAAAAAACACAAAATTTACACCTCTGTAAACTATGGTTTTAGAAAAACAAAACGTAAAACTAATCAACCATTAACTATCTCGTAGTTTACAAAAAGAAAAAATATTTAAAATCACCATCTATCACACACAAAATATATATATATATATATATATATATAATTATTTGTGGGATGGGAATCCGATAATCCAATATTTTAGTTGATATTACATTATTAGTCCATCTATGTTTCGATGAGTATTAATGTCATGTCCATAATATATTTTAAAAATTACTAAAAATAAAACTATTCATGGTAATAAAAAAATATTTATTAAAATATTGTAATTTAATTTGATTTTGTTAAATTTTAGAGAAAATCCCCAATCTAAAAATGATTGGACCAAGTTTATTTTGTGTTAAATACATTGATACTCAAGGTTTTTTATTTTTTATTTTTTTAAAAATTTTTCGCATCACCTACCTATAGTATTAGCATTCAGCGGCAAAAGGCAAACACAACCACCCCCAACTGGTTCAGTATTTCGGAAATCCTCCTTCTGGCTCTACTTGACATCTACACGTGAGAGAACATTGAAGACATTCCATGGCCGCCATTTCCGGTTCCAAGGGCAGGGCGAGGCGATTGGTAATCTTGTATTGCTCCGGGTGCCTTCCTGCTCTCAGGTGATTTTTCGGGACTCTCTTATCTTTGTTACTTTCATTTATCGAAGTTCTGAATTTGCATTCCCTTCTTTTGGCTGCCTGCAATGCTCTGTGCACGTATTTTACTGATTCTGAAAACCCAGGTGCTATTCTTCTCGATTGACCAAGACCGAATCCAAATCATCGACTAAAACCAAAAAGGCCAGAGTCATGGCACGGATGATCAACTCTAAACCTTGGTCGAATGACCTTGAATCTTCTCTGGCTTCACTCTCACCTTCTCTTTCTAAAACCACCGTTCTTCAAACTCTGGGTTTCCTTAGAGACACTTCCAAAGCCCTTCAATTCTTCAACTGGGCACAGGAAACGGGTTACACCCACACCGAACAATCATACTTCTCGATGCTAGAGATTTTGGGTCGGAACCGACATCTTAATACGGCTAGGAATTTTCTGTTTTCGATCGAAAAACGGTCTCGTGGGGTAGTCAAACTCGAAGCCCGCTTCTTCAATAGCTTAATGAGGAACTTTAGTCGAGCGGGACTCTTTCAAGAGTCTATAAAGCTTTTCACGACGATGAAGTCACATGGGGTTTCCCCCTCGGTTGTTACATTCAATAGTCTTTTGACCATTTTGCTTAAAAGGGGTAGGACCAATATGGCGAAGAATGTGTATGATGAAATGCTCGGTACTTATGGAGTGACTCCGGATACATACACATTCAATATTTTGATTCGGGGCTTTTGTATGAATGGCATGGTTGAAGAGGGTTTTACGATTTTCAAGGATATGTCTCGCTTTGGATGTGAACCGGATGTAATCACATATAATACACTTGTTGATGGGTTGTGCCGGGCAGGTAAAGTTACTATCGCATATAATGTGGTAAGGGGAATGGGAAAGAAAAGTGTGGATCTAAATCCCAATGTTGTTACATACACAACTTTGATTAGAGGTTACTGTGCAAAGCGAGAGATTGATAAAGCGTTGGATGTTTTTGAAGAAATGATTGATCTAGGCTTGAAAGCAAACAATATAACGTACAATACTCTAATTAAGGGGCTCTCTGAAGTCCAGAAATTTGAGAAAATAAAGGAGATATTGGAGGTAACTGCAGCAGACGGGAAATTTTCTCCTGACACATGCACATTCAACACTTTGATACACTGCCACTGCGATGCTGGAAACTTGGATGAAGCTCAGAGAGTGTTTGAGAAGATGACRGAATTAAAGGTCCAACCAGATTCAGCTACATACAGTGTATTGGTTAGAAGTTTGTGTCAAGGAGGGCATTATGAGAAAGCAGAGGTCTTGTTAGATAAATTATTAGAAAAAGAAATCTTGTTAAGTGGCGATGGGTGTAAGCCTCTTGTTGCTGCATATAACCCTATTTTTAAGTATTTAAGTGAGAATGGAAAGACCACGAAAGCTGAAAGAGTCTTTAGACAGCTAATGAAAAGAGGAACACAAGACCCTCCATCTTTCAAGACTATGATCATGGGGCATTGTAAGGAAGGTACATTTGAATCTGGGTATGAGCTACTAGTCTTGATGCTGAGGAGAGATTTTTTACCAGATTTTGAGATATATGAATCCTTAATTGATGGCCTTTTGTACAAGGATAAGTCACTTCTTGCCCTTCACACACTGGAAAAGATGCTGAGGAGTTCCCACCTTCCTAAATCATCTACTTTTCATTCTATACTTGCTAAACTTTTGGAACAAGGAAGTGCTTCTGAATCTGCCAATCTCATACAGATAATGTTAGACAAGAATATTAGACAAAATCTCAATTTTTCAACTGGTTGTATAAGACTACTTTTTGGAGCTGGAATGAATGATAAAGCATTCCGAATTGTTGGTCTGCTTTATGAAAATGGCTATTCTGTTCAAATGGAAGAACTAATTCATTATCTATGCCACTGTAAAAAGGTTATAGAGGCATCTAAAATGCTGCTTTTTTGTTTGGAGAATCACCAATCAGTCAACATGGATGTCTATAATACTGTAATTTGTCGCCTTTGTGAAATTAATAAGTTGTCTGAAGCATTTAGTCTGTACTATAAACTGGTGGAGATAGGAGTCCATCAACAGCTAAGCTGTCAAAGCCAATTGAAARTTTCCCTTGAGGCTGGAGGGAAATTGGAAGAGGCCGAGTTCTTATCAAAAAGGATGGAAACACAGCAGAATTTAAAAATTCCATTCCACAAGTGCAGTATTCTTCTGAGAAGCCAAGAGGTGATCGAACTTTATGCCAAGAAATATTAAAACTATGTATTTGGTTAAGACGATATAATCATTTTTATTTACTATTATTATTGTTATTTTTTATTTTTTTAATAGGAGAGACAAAACTTCTCATCTGAAGATCCAAAAGTACAAAGGGTGATTAAAAAACAAACCCAATGAGGAGCCAAGGGGACTACCCATTTTAAAGAAGCAGCTCTCTGAAGTTCTCTGGAGTCAGGGTATACTTAAAGAGGATTAGGTTCTTTCTCAGGAACTTGGTGATGGGTGGCGGCATTCACACAGCAGAAATGGTTCAGATGAGGAATCCCCCAATGTTAATCTCTCCTAGTTGGTATATTTTCTATCAAGAGGATGCTGAAACTCCGAAGTATTTTTCCTTTCGTTTCACTTTCACTTAAAAGCTGTTATCTTTTTGTTTAAATGTGTTTGACACGGCCTGGAATTTTCTGCAGTCCTCTTCAATAAGGTCTAAGCCAACTTCTCAACAGCCGCCACACCTTCAGTTGGTGGGCTAAGGTTTTGTGGGATTGTGCCTGCTATCAGAGTGTCAGTGTGGGACGTGGACTTTTGCAAGATTATTTTAGGAGAGAGGATGAAATTTGGGATCCTATTCAAGTACAAAGCTTCAACCTGAGTTCTTTATCCAGATCTTTTTCTAACTACGCATTTTTCCTGTTTGAGCTAATTGGTGGAACTTTTTGCAATACACTTCCGGGCTGTCTGGAAAGACTCGGAGAATGACAACTTTGAAGGTGGAATAATGGCTCCAGAGAGTAAGATCATCTGAGCTGATTTTCAAGATTCCGTGGGGTGTGATTTATTTATCTACCTTTTCCTTTTTCAAGGGGATATTCATGATTATTTTTCTTACATTGTTGCTTAAATTTTCTCTCCTTACCATCCCTATTACTATCTAAATAATGTACACATCCCTTCCTTTTTAGGAGAACTGGAAGTGATCTACTTCATGTGGAGGATGCTTAGTCTGTATGGGCTACCCCGGATATAAACCAAGATTATGATCCACAGAATGTGAAAGCTTCAAGATGGCTTGGTTCAGGATTCACCTGGAACTAACTATTTGGAATGCTAGAAAGCAGTATAATTTGAGCAGCTTTTCCTTTCTTTAACAAGGAGGTATGGCTTGAGTTGACGTAAAATTTTGTAACTTTTGGCTGAATAATTTGTTTTTGTATAT